CTAATCGATGGAAAATTCTTCTCCGAGATCATCAACTTCGGCACGTACCGTAATGCGTACATAGATTCGGACCACTACTTAGTTGCAGTTACGCGCAGCAGCTGGAAGCTGCACTACCCACGGAAGAGTACTACCTTGGGGTAAGCGCAGAAGACGACAGGCTAGCGGCCCCTGATCTACCAAGTGAGCTATTGAAATACGGTGGCGAAGCACTGGCTAGAGCGCTGCACTGGGTAATTGCCAAGATTTGGGAGGAGGAGATATTACCGAAGGAGTGGATGGAAGGTGTCGTATGCCCAATCTACAAAAAGGGCGACAAGTTGGATTGCTGCAACTACCGCGCGATCACACTGCTGAGCGCCGCCCACAAGGGGCAACAAATCCTATGCCACCGCCTGCTGCCATTTGCAAGAGAGTTCGTGGGGCAATACTAGGCGGGATTCATGGGTTCCCGCGCTACCACGGACCAAATTTTCGCGATTCGGCAGGTTCTGCAGAAAGCCCGCGAATACAACGTACCCACACATCATTTTTTCATCGTTTTCAAATCGGATTTCCGGATAAACTGACACCAAGGCGACGATGGATCGAGTGATGTGCGTTGTTCGAGTATCGGGGGCACTCTCGAGTCCCTTTGACTCTCGAAGGGGGTTACGGCAAAGTGATGGACTTTCGTCTCTGCTATTTAACATCGCGTTAGAAGGTGTGATCAGGAAGTCCATCCAGCTTCTTGGCTTCGCCGATGACATCGACAACATGGCACGGAACTTTGAGACGATGGCGGAAACGCACATCAGACTGAAGGCTGAAGCTAGGCGGATTGGACTTGCCATCAACGCATCGAAGACAAAATACATGAAAGGAAGAGATTCTAGGGAAGACAATGTTAGCCTCCCACCCCGAGTTCAGATTGTCAGTGACAAAATCGAGGTGGTTGACAAGTTCGTGTATTTGGGCTCACTGGTGACCGTCTAAAATGATACCAGCAGAGAAATTCAAAGACACATTATGGCAGGAAATCGTGCCTGCTTTCGACTTTGCACGCCGCTGCACGAAGTTGTGGTCCTCTATGGCCACGAGACCTGGACTATGCTCGTGGAGGACCAACGCATGGATCGAGTAGAGTGGAGACGAATTCTTCGGACAGCAGAGGACAACAAGGCATTAGCCTGATTGGTATGGTATGTATGCTCTATTATGTCACTTCCAATCAGCAATTCCAACATTCCAGTTTAAACTGGATTCTTCAAGTTTTTTTAAGGCATCCAGCCAACCAGCTAAGCTTTGAAATCATCCAGTTTTTTTAAAATCCATCCAAATTTATCCATGCTTTTTCAATATTGTTATAAATAATATGTTGAAATATGATTGTCAATACAGAATAGTTAAGAATCCGTATCTGGAATCTTATATATTGGTGTTAGAATTTGGAAACGCAATTTATAAAATTAACTAACTACAACTCTTTGATAAAATTATTTGAATTTTAGCTAACTCCCAAGAAACATTGCAAGTTTTATCGAGGGTTTAAAGCATTCTACAAGTCTAAATCATTCAAGCGGCGCCGGTGATGTAGTGGTAAGCGTGATTGCCTTTCACTCCAAAGGGCCTGGATTCAATCCCAGTCGGTGCCGTCGGATTTTCTGAGGGAAGTAAAGCCGTTGGTCCCCGGTCCATGACTTGATGGGTAGCATTGATACTCAAGGAAAAAAAAGTCAAATCATGGTCAACAAAGCACTCACAAAACCACAATTGTTACTTGGGCTATCTATAGCAAATTGATTAAAGGGCGAACACGAAATTATTGCGACACCGAAAATGTCATGCCAATTTTCTTATAATGTTTAGAATCAAACCAAAATTTTAGGGTAGTTTTATACATATATTTACTTCAAAAATCAAAAGAAAAGTTAATCGATGGAGCCTTGAGTGTAAAATTGAACGCATTTTCGCTTGACGCCCTCCATCAAAGTCTTTACAGTGTCATCCGGTACCAGTTTCTCAGTTTTTTTTTCCATTTTCTTAACATGTCCTTCTCGTCTTTGACTGTCTTCTTGCTCTTCCGAAGTTCCCGCTTCATTATTGCCCAGTACTGCTCCACCGGGCGCAGCTCCGGACAGTTTGGCGGATTCATGTCCTTTGGAACAAAATGAACAGAATTGGCCTCATACCACTCCAGGACACTTTTAGAATAGTGGCATGATGCCAAATCTGGCCAAAATAGCGGAGCTTCGTCGTGCTGCTGCAAGAACGGCAAAAGGCGCTTCTCGAGGCACTCAGATTTGTAGATCTCGCCATTTACTGTGCCCTTTGTCACGAAAGGCTCACTCCTCAGTCCGCAAGAGCAGATGGCCTGCCAAATGAGATATTTGGAGGCGAACTTCGACATTTTCTTCTTCTTAAATTTGTCGTCCACATCGAACTTGCTCTTGCCGGTGAAAAACTCCAACCCCGGAATTTGCTTAAAATCGGCTTTTATATACGTTTCGTCGTCCATCACACAGCAGCCATATTTTGTCAGCATCTTCTTGTAGAGCTTCCGTACCCGAGTTTTAGCCGTCGATTGTTGCCGCTCATCGCGGTTTGGGAAGTTCTGTACCTTGTATGTATGTAGTCCAGCTCTCTTCTTTGCATTCTGGACGTAGCTCTGCGACATGCCGATCTTTTTAGCCAAATCACGGCTTGAGACGTTGGGATTTGCTTTAATCATCCGCTTCACCTTTCCCTCCGTCTTTTTATTCTCCGGTCCCGGTTTTCTTCCAGCTCCTTTGCCGTGGTCCAACGTCAACCGCTCCTGGAACCGCTTCAACACTCTGGAGACGGTTGAATGGTGAATGTTCAACATTTTTCCCAACTGCCGATGCGACAGGTCAGGAAATTCCAGGTGTTTGGAAAGAATTTGTTCTCTCAACTCGCGTTGGTTCACCTCCATTTTCGTTGAATCGAAAAACACGACTTCGAGTTTGACAGCATGTACACAATACACATCAATGAGAAAGTGTGCAAAATTTGGTTGATTTTTACCCAATGGTAAAAAAGTTATGCCCTGTTGAATGTGTCGCAATAATTTCGTGTTCGCCCTTTAATACCATATAACTTGGTTAGTTTCTTAGTTACTTGGCAATTTTAAATATGTTTTCATATAGACCTGATGTAAAGTTAAACCACAGTCAGTGATTAAAAAAAAATAACATATTTAGGGAAATGTTAAATAAAACCATCTTTTCCGAGGGGCACGCACTAGTCTTTCAATACTACGCAGCCTACTGACCAAATATTTAAAATCTTGTCATTACTGCTTTCATTACTTTAAATACACTCTAAATTTGATTAAATACTTTAAATACTGACAATATTTGATACTTGAATTATTTTCAAAACATTAAAATTATTTGCCATTACATTAATTATCGTTAATTATATGTTGATTACTTTCAATACCGCTAAGAGTTTTTATAATCAAATGATTACTGTCCTCAAAGTATTTAAATTACTACGATGTATTTTAAATATCACGCACTCATACCTGTTAGTGCACGCCCCTCGATCTTTTCTCAAAACTCTAGGAGAAAAAATCTCATAACATTGTTCCATTGCGTGGTGATAAAGTTCGAGTTGAGGAAACGCAATTTTAAACTGCTCGTATATAATTAGAGTACTCCACGATTTATTTAGGATAGAAATAAAACTTGTGTTTTTTTTTCGCAGAGATAACTAAGCTTCTTGATACTGATTATTTGTATTTGTAGTTTAAAACAGACTTTTTCATCTAAATCGTAAAAGGTGTGCAAGCAACGACAGAAAATTTTCTTAGGCATAATGAAAACCATGGTATCCCAAGTAGCATTACATTACACGTGGTTTTTAAGCATTCTTCAAGTATAAATCATGGTCTACAAGATTGTTACTTTCTCTGCTATATGCAGTCGATTTATGTGTTTCTGCAAATGTCTAGTATAAGAATTTAATTCGTTTGTCTTTTGTATGTCTTTATTAGTTTTTGTTTGCCTTGTCCCCCGTCTCGATGAGTCTCATCGTCGCCCACTGGTCACCATAGCCTGTCGAACTCCAGCCGAATCTAGAACCACACTACCGTTCATACTGGCGACAACGCTCTGATGAGACAACGAAACCTTACCCCCAAGCTCCTCCCTTGATCCTATCCTTCGACAATGTACCTCTCTAGCCTCGAGTAAGCCGCGAGTATTCGGCCCAACTCCTACTAGACATAGAATTAAGTGAATTTTGTTACAAACAAAGAACAGTGAATTGTTGGCTCCGTAAAGCTAACGCGATTGAGCCTTACAAATAAACGAACTAGATAAAAAAGATTGTTACTTGGGATGTCTGAAAATTAATATATTCGTAAGAAAGTGCAGATTTTATGAAGATCCAGTTTTTTCAGTAATTTATCGAAAACTGTTGACATTGCTAACAGGCATTGGGTTGGCATTGCTCATGCACCTAAATTCTAGATAGAGCTGGAATTAGGGCGTAACAGCTTTTGTAAACAATGACTTCTCTCGATTATTTCTAGAAAACTAAGGCTCGCTCACTCAAATCAACGCAACAATCGGGTAGGGGAAGTCTTCCCCTTCCCGTTGGTTATGTTGGTTTGCGTGGGCTATCAAGAATTGGCCTATTCGTAAGTCCTTTTCAAGATCAGTTTCCGCAGAAATATGTAAATATATTCAAGAAATTAAAAAAAAACAGCAGAATTTGGAATTATGAGTAATTCAAAAATTGCCCATTGCATTGAATGTCGACGATAAAAATTCATCCGCCGATGACAAATGCAACGTAGTTGACGGAATTTGTCATCACCAGCTCTAAGTAATCGACGAAAGGGGGAAGGGGAAATAATTACACATCACGGGGCAGAACCTAAACGCTACTACGAAGGTACCTAGTACTAGATACTAAATATTATATGTGACGTATGTTACAGAACATAACGAAAACCGAAGAAATAGAGAGTTAGTTATAGGTCCGATACTCACTGTGCTTCTTTTTCATCGGCAGGGGTGGCGGCTCTTCGCTGAAATGATTCATATGGCGCGGTTCGATCAAGCTGATATGCTTACTCGGTAGGTTGTTAATGATCTGCTGCCGGCTGTGATGGTGGAAGCCGGTCTGATGCAGCGAACAGGAGTTGAACGTGTCCTGGGAGCTGGGAAATTGGAATTTGTTTCGTTAATAAATGATCGATTGTGTTGGGTGAGTCGAAGCTTACCTTTTTTCCATTTCCGCATCATCCACGTTGTCGTACTGCGAATTGTGTCGCTCCCGTCTAATACTGTGCTGCCGGGTTTTGATCGGAAGGGCCGGCGGTTTGTCGCCACTGCCTCCAACTCCAGATTCACTGCCCCCAAAGACCTCGTCGTTCGCTTCGATGCTACCGTACTGTATCGTTTTGGAAAGACTAGCCGTTTGTACCCGACTGCTGGAGATCTCCGTAGTGGTTGTCGAACTGAGCACCACGTCCCCACCATCTCCACTGGCTTGCGTCACGAAGGTGTCAATTTTCTGATGTTGCTGCTGTTGCTGTTGGTGATGGTGGTGGTGCTGCTGTTGATGGTGAAGGAGAATTTGAGAGCTAGCATTGGTACTGCTGCTAGCAGCGAAGGCAGCCGATTTGAACGAAGTACTGCTGCTGGTCTGATGATCCCGGCTGATGCGAAGCGAGTACATCGATTCGAAGCCCGATTCGTTGGAATTGCGGTTGTTCAGGATGGTGGTGTCGGTCAGGATCGGACCGCCACCGCTCTGCAGCAACATTCCGGAACAATCCGCTTCGTCCCATACGGTGGAACTATTTGCACCGATCTGACCGGCCAGTATGGATGACTTGTCCTGTGTGAGCGCTCGGAGTTCTTCCTCCTCGCGGGAGTGATTCAAGGCCGAGTCCAGCGAACCAGCGCTGGCACTCAGCAGACTAGAGTTATCTTCCGGGGAGCGTGATCGCAGGGACATCCGGTCCAGTGCCCCACAGCCCAGGAAGGTGGAATCCGAATTGCAATCGGACGTATCGTGGAAGGAGTGGTTCTTCGAGTGTTGGCTCTTTCGTTTCGGGGGTAACGGAGGTGGGTCCTGACCTCGGTCCGGAAGGGGTGGTTTCGGGGGAGGACTAGAATCGCGGAGAATGCTCTCGGTACTGTGGGAAGCGCGGACCGTTTTCATCGAGGTTTGTTCTAGAATGTCCCGCTCCCGCGGGGTAAGCGGAATATCCGGCAGGGACGTTCGCTGGCTGGCGATGTCTACGGCCGGTCGTTGCAGCGTGTTGGAAGAGTTGTTGCCGGGGGTGCTGCCTGCAGCTTTGTCGGAGATTTTCTCGTTGGCCAGGTTGACCAGATTGTTGACGGCATTGTCGACCAGTTCGACGATCTCCTTGACGTTCTCCTTGCTCAGCGAGGGACAGTTCTCGTTTTCGGCGGTCAGAAGCACTTCATCACAGAGTTTCAGCAGGTTCCCGAGGGACATGTAGACATGGTTGGTGGCATTGATCAGGGCGCTGCTGTTTTCGTTCAGCGTGTACGATTGAAGGGCTGCAAGATACATTGGAGGGGAGAGAGAGGAAAGGTATGATATTGTACTTGGCTTCAAAACACATTGTGTAGATAAGAGAATATGTTTACAACAAGCTTCTCTGCTCTACAGCTGGAATGCAAGATCCATCAAATAGAGTGCTGTAGCTATCGGTGTTTGTGTGTGTGTGTAGCAGAAATCGCAAACTCACCCGTGTGGACATTGGCAATCAACTCCAGCACTACGGTCCCGTTGCCGGGCAACATCTCCAGCTTGTTCTTCAGTATTACATCCTTGAAATGGGTCAGGGCGTTCTTCACCTGTCTCACGTGGTAGGACAGATCCTGTACCGGTTTGGTACTACCCAGCAGGTCATCGCCATGTCCGGATTTGCCACTGCTCCGATTGCTGCTTCCACTCCTGGGACTGTTTGGCGAGTGTGACCTGCGTTTGTGATTCCGTCGTTGCGGAGATTGGAACGAGCGTCGACCGGATTTGTAAAGAAAATTGTACATGTCAGGGTTAGAATTAGATTCCACTAAGCACTACTCCCGAAGCAAAGTATCTTTCGGGGACGATTCTCTACACTACTGGGGCTGTTACTGCTAACTAACACACCACCCACCGTCTGCGAGCTTCTATTTGCTCACGCTCTACCGTTTGGCAGCAACTTTCGTTCTCCCAGCACAACGGGAGTGGGGTTGGACCCTAAAAGCAATTCGCGACGGTAATTCTCGTCACCGGTGATGGGTGTATGAGTGGGAAAATCAGCGAAAAATAACATCACAAACGGCCGCAGTACGCGAGTGCGACAACGACGACGACGACGACACAAGAAGACACGATTTAGTGTGTCGGGCAATTTCATTATCATCAACATCTTTCCGTCGTCGTCGTCGAAACGAAGTAGCTGTGTAGCTACACCTCACCTCTACCTATATAGGTACACATTGGATATTATAGCAGGGTGAAGATCTGGCTGCTGCGTTATAGGGTCATCTAATTGATTTAGAATGGACCAAGTGGAAGTAATCGTTTCGTTTCTTTTAGCCGAGGCAGATGGAGAGCCGGGATTTCCGTAGCATGCATCATTTTTCAAAGTTGATACCCATCGTGGACATTTACTTATCTTATCGAAGTCAATGAAGGCTTGTGCTATCGCTACAAGGGACAGCGCGAGAGGCCTTCGTGCTACCTTTAGGTTACAAAGTGAACAGTATACGACCAATGGGAACGATCCAAATTTGAGATCAATTTACTCATAAATCGCAAAAAATGCAGGAATTCAGCGGTGAGTAAATTGCCTGATGTTTTTTTCAGGAAAAAATTCCAGAATTTGAGAAAAGTAAAGATTGGATTCAACTTCTGGACAGTGTAAATTTTTCGATTTTTTAGGTTTTCCACAGCAAAACATGAGTCATCTTTACTCATCGCTGAGTTCCTGCACTTTTTGCGATAAAATTTGGGTCGTTCTCATTGGCCGTGCATATCACAAAAGGCGTTAACCAGTTCGATAATCGTCGAGGCCATGTGTGTTCTTCTTATTCTAACCATTTTGAAGACGTGCAACAAATCCTAAAACATACAACTCACCTCGTCATCGTACTGGTCGGGGTCCGTATCTGGGAGATCTTCTCCAGGAAGTCGTCCTTGAAGGAACGTGCCCGCCGGGCCAGTTTGTTACCGCGGATGCTGCCCTTGTGACCGGAAGACCCGGGGCCACCGGGCGTTATGGAAGCCGACCGTTCGCCGCCACCGTTTTCGACTGCAGGCGTCGCCGGAGAAGTCACGTTATTGCCAGCGGACGCCACCGGAGTCGTCGTGTTGGCGGAGTTGGCACAATTGCTGCTAGCGGTACTGCTGCCACTGTTCCGTGGGGTCGCTCCGGCCGATGCCGAGATGTTATTCGAACTTTGGGTAATCGTTCCGTTATCACAATCTGCAAATGGTATAAGGTAAATCGGAAGATTAGTGATGTGAGAAAAAGACAGCTATGAATTTATTATTTATTATGCAAGAAAAGATGCCGATGAAACAAAGTCGAAATATCACCTGTTCGGATGCGGTGTAGAAGAAAAAACAAACAAACACACCGCACGACTGGCGTTCCGGTCGGTTTGCCTAGTCATTCACTCGCTCATCATCATCATCAACATCAACATCATGATCGCAGAGATTGATCATCTCTCAAGCGTGGAATTAGTTTCCCACCGTCGTCGTCGCCGCCGCCATCGGTGCAAACACCTGGCTCTGACAAATCTACTCCTTTCCCGATTAATTGCTGTATCCCGTTCTCGCTGTATCGATATGAAAGACGACGACGCCATAATCGAGATTGGCTAATGAGACTAGAAGTTGTGGCGCTTCACTACTTTGGCTCTTACACTATTCAAATCAATTTTGCTCGTTTGATTGGCGTTGGCAAAATCCGCCGGGTCGATCATGCATGAATTCTGTCGCTAGAATGATTTCCAGGAGCTTTATACTCCGGTTGTTCCGCATGATTTGCTCCGCACTAGAGTCAGCTAATATAGATTTTTCTATCCGACGAACGACGGTACAAACCGAAAGAGTCACCAATCCGTGTCGAGACCCCCATTGGGGATCGGTTTTCGATTGCATTTGCGGCACACAGTGTTGATGGAAAAACGGGAGCCACATGCCGGCAAATGGATCGATTAAATAGCTACAATTTGCTGTGGCGTGGAATGTGAAGGGGCGGTGGAATAGAAGGTGATTCGAACCGTTTATTATTGTGACAATAAATGATGCTGTCGTATAGATCTATTACAGGCATTCTTTTCGTACCAATCACCGAATGAGTTCAGTTTTCGTTTGGCAAGCATTCACATATTGGTCATCGATAGGAAAAGTAGCCGTTTCACGGACGTCTCGTGTCTCCAATGGTCACATGCTGCTCTTCATTTCGATTTAAGCCACTGATTTTAAGAATTTTCTTCCTGCTTTCCCGGATAAATAAAAAAGCGATAAGCCTTAAAAAAATTAATATAATTACCAGACAGAAATTGGAAATTGGAACTTACAAAGTGTTAGAGGTTTTGTGATCAGAAAAATTTGATATACTTTGAACTCGTACTGAATTCAATATTCCGAGTTGAGCAATTTTCAACTCATTGCTATCATTTACATTTTGTAATTACTCGATTAATAACTAATCGATTATGTTTGTTCGCTGTGCTGTCATTTTTCACCAATGAGTGTGAAGAACATGCTTGAAACGATGGCATGGTATTATCGATTAAACATAATTCTCGCGTCACTTTTCAATACATTAATCAACTCTTTTCATCGACTTTCTCTTTGGATCGCCACGGCCGTGTTAAGATATTTCCGGATATTTTCAACACTCAGCACTCAACAATCTAGCATCTGATACGACAAAGACGACAGGAAACGTTTTCGTAGCCGAGTTATTTACGAAAGAAAGGGTCGATGAATAGAATCGATCAATGTAGATTGGTCCATTTGAAAATTGACGCGAGAATTGATTTTTCGATTCGTTAATCGATCATTCGAATAAAAATTAGACACCACTAGATGAATGTGAAACGTCATTTTGACATCCTTCGGTTAATGTGACATATAAGGGGCGTGCATAAATAAGGAGACAATTGGAAAGGGACTGGGCTAATCACAAATGACGTCCCCACGATTATTGAAAAAACACAAGTGCTGACCGATTGCAAGAAACTTTGAGTTCTTACAAGTCCGTCAGAGTGCTCCTCAAAATTGCTTTGCAATCTTTTAAACGCTTTTTTTACGCGTATTTCGTCTACTACTTGCAGACTTCATCAGTGCCAAGTACTCAACACTACTGCTTTGCAATGTTAGTCAGAACTCTTTTGGAATTACCTTGACTTCCTCCTTGGACTTCTGTTGGAAATTTACTCTAAATCCTACTCGTGAATCTCTAGGGATTCTACTCAGAACTAGCTTGGTATTTTCCTTACATTTCACCTGGAATCTGGAGTTCAAGAGAACTAATTTGAAAGGAATCCTCAGACTTCACTTCAAGTGTTCCTCACAATTCTACCTCCGGTCATAATTTTTAGAAAATTTAAAAGAGATTTCCAAGAGAAGCTTTTCAAAGAATGAATGGGAATTCTGAGCAGAACTGAAAAGAAACTACTATGGTAATTCCATGGGAATTTCAGGAGAATACTAAGTGCATGCGGAGGAGAACTTCAAGCGATTTTTTCAGGATTATTTTTCAGGAAATTGCTAGAATTATTAATAAAATGAGGAGCATTGCAGAATGAATTCAGAGAAAAAAAAATGGAACACGAGAGGCTTAGATTTTAGGAAAATCTTCATGGTTTAAGGCGTTTTATTTAATTCGCCACCGTGTTTGGTTTATCGTGCCTGTTCGGTGCCTTCGTGGATGCCAGCACGTTTCATCGTTTCTGACGTAGGACTACGTCGGTGATTTCTATATACACTTTGTGAAAACCGAAAATGGAACATGTAACAACATTATGAAAGATTTTGAACGTTAATAACTCAGCTGACCCTTGACCAATTTCAATAATTTTATCACCAACCGATCAGAAATATCTACGCATCTGTTAAATTTAAGACTTTATCATTTTTCAAAATATCAATATTTTAAAATTGCACGAATGTGCAACTGTTGCTATGATAGTTAAAATTATCACCTATTGCCTGCGAAAAACGATTTCCCTAACACAGATTGTAACCCGACAGCCTTACGAGTTTCCCGTTTTTAGTAAAAATGGCTTAAGCGCCACTCCCGAGGGAGACCATCTACCGAGACTAGGGTTGCCCGACCATATGAGACCTTTCAGGGAAGGTTCTGTTTTTCTCAAATGAATGAGCGGGAAGCAAGTTGGCTGTTGATCGATTACGGTAAGGACGGGAATGCCCACGACCTATGGTCGTGAAAGAATCAAATAAAAGAATGAAGCATTCACAAGATTTCAAAGTTGAATTCCATACGATCTCACCAAACGGTGTTTATTCAATCACCGCGTGGTGATGTTCTCCGGTATACAACGAAAGGCTCCCCGCAAGCAGCTAGCTATCAAGGCTGCCCTCAACCGCTGATCTGATTCAGTTCCAATCACCCGGTGGTGTCCGGTCGTCGGCATCAGTAGCAGCGCTTTCGGCACGTGACGTTGAACATTGTTTTCCGGCACACAACGAAAGGCTGCCTGCAAGCAGCGAGCATCGATAGAAGGAGGAAGAAACCGCACCGCTATTGATCGGAACTAGTAGCTCTTCGTGAGTCGCTGTGAGCCATCTATGTCAAGCGCGTCATACTAAAGTGTATAAACAAAGAGAATCCCGCTCAAATTCCTATTCCTACACAAAACACAAGCTCCTGCTGCAGTTAACAAATAAGATTTATTATATAAGACCACGTAGTCCTACGTCACCATTGCGAACTACCCCTTAGGGCTGTCCCTTGTAGTTTTTCGACAAACCAGATGGAAACATCTGCCTTCTTCACCGCATCGCGGATCGAAAGATTCGGCCGACGCTTGAACAGACTCAACACCTTCCTGGCCTTCACCGGGTCAGTTGTTTTCGGTTTTATGCCGCAGCCTGCACGCCGTTGGGTCGTCTGGGTCTCCTTGAATGACTACACCACCCGGGAAATTGTCGAATGATGAATTCCCAGGTGTTTCGCGATCCATCTGTGTGACGCAGTCGGATTTTCCACGACGGCGTGCAAGATTTTTTGGCGGATCTGCTCTTGCTCCGATGCCATCTCGATGACACAATTCTGCCAGCATAAACATTACACTCTTAGCTAGTTTCAGTTAAAATTTGATATATTTTTACCCACACGTTAAAAAGTTACAAACTAATCAATGTGTCTCACTTTTTTGAGTACATTGTTTTATTATTATAAGTGGTTGAAATATTTAATTAAATGACGAAATTAATAGACAGTCCGATATTGAGTGCATTACTGTAAGTGATCATTGAATAAGAAAGCTTAAAATATCGAATCTATGATACTTTTGAATTAAAAAAAAGCAACCCAGCGGATTTTCTTTGGATTATTCTAAAGAGATAATTGAGAAAATTCTAAATAAATTCTGTGAAGAGCTACAGGCAAAAAAAATACTTCAAGATATGAGGCTACTAAACTTCTCGGAATGAAATTTCTTGAGCATCTCTTAATTTTGCAAAAATCTCTAAAGTCTATTGATTTTATTGAAAATTCAGGAAATTTCTCAAAAACTTGAAAAAATTAAAATCTAGGATTCAGGAAAAAAAAAACTCAGGGTTCTGAAAAAAAAAACTTGAAACATAAAGGCCAAATCTAAAATTTTGAAATAAACTGGCGTCGAGGATAAAATACCTGTATTTATTAACAAATTCAAGCGGACCAGTGCACAGTGGTTCCCCTTAGAACAAAAGCTGGCCAAAACCTCAAAATTGTTGCTAATAGGCAAAAAACAGTTGAAATAGATGTTTTTTTAGCTGTACGAGGAAAACTTGACAATCAAGACGTCACAAAAAGGAGTATAGTAGAACCAAAACCAATGCACAATGGTCCCAGCCGTATTTACCTAGGAAGACAAAAAATTTTGCGCCCAAACTGTCAGTTAGGTATATGGTTTCCTAGGGAAAGTTGCTTCATATTTTTTGTTCAATCTTTTTATGTTCGTAAAATTAGGGTGGCTCATAAAATTGGTGAATTAAAAATACAAACTATGTATTTATTATATGAAATAGACCAAAGCATAGTTGTAGAACATTAAATTCAATGAAACTTTGTAGAAGATACAACGTTTTTATCTCTTATGGTTCATGAGTTATGATTTCTTAAACAAGCAGGTTAGGGTGGCCACTAAAATCGATTTTCTTTGAATATCTTTTCATGCGTTAATTTCTTGCAAAAACATTGTTCTGATTACACTTAGAACTTTGCTCAAGCAACTTGGT